TATATATATATATATATATATATATATATATATATATATATATATATGGGTACGGTTTGTATAAAGCCTAGGTTCTAAACAATTAAATTAGAGCCTACCTTCAAATAATGTAGAGAAATGTGGTTTTACTACTGGAAATCTGTGATAGCCTTAAAATACATTTTTATATTTATTTATAAAATTCAAAGCTTCAAAAATAGGGTAGATCAACATATCTATGAAAACTTGAAAATCTTGAAAATTGATGGTCTAAAAATGCATTACAAAATACACTATTTCCAAAACTTGAAATTCATTTTTTTCTCATGTCCTTACATCTTGATGTCAAGATGATCAATTTGAAGATATTTGGGCATCAAAACAACCTCTTATAGTAAACTTTTTGAGGTGGGCTCAAATTTGATTGTTTAGAGCTTCGGCTCTGTATAAACTTTTCCATATATATAATATCCTCTTAGGAGCCTTTATGGGACACTTGTAATTCCAATGCGTTTTAAGATTTTAAACAAATAATGTGATGATAAATCACTAACAATAAATTTTTACAATATATCAGTTTTAGCCGTAAAAGGCACCCAATTTAAAATGTGTAACACACGTTCTATTGCTCGTGTTATGTGTGTGTATTTAATTTATTTATTTTTCCTTTTTTCTGCACCAGTGTTTTTTAGTCCTACCATGAATGTATTATATCTTAAAAATATATTTCATTGGACAAATATCAATATCTTATCAATGTAATATTTGATCTCCTTAGATAACTCTCTCCCCTACCAATAAGAGAGAGAGAGTTCGGTAGGATGTAAATTTTGCTGAGGCTTATGAGTTTGGAAAACGAAAAATTATATACTAGATCTTTCCCCACTACGTCATTATTTCAAAATTCAAAAGGCATATACCCATCTCAAAAAAACAATTTCTCTCTCATCACATCACAAACAACATCAAATATATGAAAATCGAGATCATAAAGAGTAAAGAACTTATATCCACCTCTAAACCAACGTTCCTCCCTCGTCATCTCTAGAGAAAGAGAGAGAAAAGCTTCATGAAATACCGGCCAGAAATACAGTCAGAAGGTTAATCAACAAATATTCAAACATGAAACGAAATTTTAATATTCACTTATTTTTATAAGATAATGAAAATTCATAATGCATCTGTAATACTAACATTCTTGGGGTGTGACAGTCTATCTTTAACAAAACCAAAATTTCTTTTACATATTGTACAAGACTGTCAGATTTTTCATTCAAAAATTTTAAATTTGTACAAAGTCTACTTACAACTTATATTAACATGAATGTTCATTTATATACATCTTTGATAGGACAAAAGTTACAAATGTAAGTTTAACTGTGACTACAAACTTCTTCATAGCTACTTCTGTTGTACTTTCAAACAATAAGGCTGCAATTTATTCTGAAAATAATTCACAAGAGTTTGATGAATTTGGCTACTCAGTAAGTTACCATTATAATCCTTAAAAATAATCATGGTTGATAAATGTAGATATTTTCTAAAAAAATGCATATTAAAATAATACGAGGAAAACCATACAATGAGAACTATTTCGAATTTTTCAATTGAAATATGTAGTTTTAACATAATTTCAAAGATTTGAATACATATTGAATAATACGAAAAATAATATTATTTTTATGAGAATATTATGAGAGAAATAATTATTTGTTATGAGAGAAAGAGCATGAGAAGAGAGAGAGACAAAATCGTTAAGAGAGAGAATAATGACTTACATAGGGAGGAGAGAGAAAGACCAATTGTGATGGGCTAATGATGGGCCTATGAGGGATATTTGTAAGTGAAGATGACCAATCTTCATTTGACACTTGTCAAACATGTATCTTTTTTTTTACTTACATATGTGCCATCGTATGACACATTATTATCTTATAACAATACTTTATGACACATCATCCTCTTATAATGTCACCTTATAACACATCACTATCTTACAATGACGCATCATCCTCTTATAATGCCATCTTATGACACATCATTTTATGTTTAAATATATTAACTTAATTAAAACAAACGTGAAAAGGGAAAGTTTAGGGTGGTCCCATGGTGTATTCATAACATAGTGAACTATCATTCAAAATTATAAATATTTTATATTTTTATTATTATTTTTCAGTTTCAAATATATTTAGGATCATCACATTCTCCCCCCCCTTAAAAAAATTTAGTCCTCTAAATTTTTGTACCTGATTACTGAAAAAGATGGGGATATTTCTCATTGATTTCATTTTCTTGTTCCCAAGTGGCTTCTTCTAAGGAATGATGTTGCCACAAAATTTTTATTAATGATATCACCTTGGATCTCAACACTTGCTCTTTTCAATCGAGAATTTGAATGGGTTGCTCGGCGTATGTTAAGTTATCTCTAATTTGGAGAGGTTCATGGTTAATGATGTATGACGGGTCAAACTCATATCTTCGTAACATTGACACATGAAACGCATAATCAGTGTTTGATAATTCAGGGGGCAAGGCAATTATATATGCCATCTCTCCAATCCTTTCTAAGATTTCAAAATGTCCAATAAACCTTGGGCTTAATTTTCCCTTTTTTCCAAATCTCATTATATCCTTGGAAGGAGATACCTTCATAAATACATGGTTTCCCACTTGATATTCCAAGTTTCTTCGATGCTTATCTGTATAATTTTTCTGTCTAATTTGAGCACTTTAAAGTCTTTTCCGAATGAGCTTAATCTTATTGGTAGTTTCTTGAACAAACTCTGGTCCCATAAATTTTATTTCCCCTTCATCATCCCAACAGATAGTTGATCTACACTTTCTTCCATATCTTCCGTATAATGCCTCATATGGTGCCATTTTCATACTAGACTGATAGCTATTATTGTAGGCAAATTCGATCAAAGGCAAATGATCATCCCAATTTCTTTTAAAATCCATCACACAAGCTCGAAGTATATCTTCTAAAGTCTGA